GACACTTACTGGCTCTGGGGAAAAATGTTATTTTGAATGGGCTGTGACTTACTGACCGAAGGAACTAGCATCAACTTTTAGAACTGAGCCTGCAAATTAACTGAAGGACTCCGGAATGTGAATAACTGCTGCAAACTCACAGCCCCTCCATCCCAGGTGCCCGTCTTGCTGCCTGGGGTTTCCGGCGGCTCTAGAATCTGTCCATCTTCATCAGACTTCAAGGTTGGTTTATTCTTACCCAAGCATCTTTGATTTTGCAATTAAACTCCACTTTGAAGTGACCTTAGAGAGGGAGAATTATTATGTAGCTTTTACCTTTGCTTCATTCGTATTTAGCTCACAGTTGTGGCCTTGAAGGGTTTATCATTATTATTATTATAATGTTGTATTTACTTAGACCAAGATACTTCTGACCAAAAAAAATCAAAGTGTAGAATACATCTAAAGCATTTTCTTTAATACCATCTTTCTTTTCCTGGTAATGGCATTTTAACTGCACAAATGAAAGATAATTGAATGCACATTTTCTTTCAAGCTGTCTTGGTCATGTTTATTCTAAATTATGTACACTTTGAAGGAGACCCTAGAAGTGGCATTTCCAGTTCTTACATGGTAAAAAAAAAGTAGGCCAGAGCTTGGGCTCTGGAAATCTCTGGTGGTAGAGCAGTAGCTTGTAAAAATGCCTTTGACATGTTCATTTTTCCTCTTAATTCAGAAATGGTATTTATCATAATGTAATGGGAACTGCTTGTTAACTAGCACTGTTTTCAAAATTGTATTCTACAATCTTTTCTTTCACTGCTCAGATTGATTGTAAGGTTGAATTGGGTTAGCTGGGTTTTCTGTTTTGTTTGTTTTGTTTTGCCTTTTCAGTTTCATCAGGAATTCAGAGTAAGAATTTATTTGTGGGTTTAGCACAGGGGAGGAAGCCGTGCCTGGTAGACAGCTGATGAGTGGTAACTGTTACGTGTTCAGCTTTCACATACGACAGTTGTTTCCACAGAAGTATTTATGGGAATTGGATTTGGTCATGATGCCATATTGAGCCAAGATCATCTTTTCCATGGAAGGTGATGGGATTTGAGAGATTTTGGGGGATCAGGACATGGGGGAGCTGTAATCCCAGAGCACCTCCCCCTGCCAGTACAGCAGTGAATCTTCCTGTGAATTTTATTTTGGTGGCTGTGAGTGAGCAGGCCTCGTGGGCTTTCTGCTCCAGACCGAGAGTCCTGGCTGTTCTTGGCATGACTTATATGAGTCTGATGGGTGGCTGGGCAGGCGCAGAGCTCCTGCAGAGTGAAAATTGTGGGAAGATGGCAGGCAGGGAGCCTAGGGATTACATGACTTCTCGAGTGGCTGCAGGAGCCTCCCACCTGGGGCTGGAAAAGCCGAAAGGTGTGGAGAACTGTGGCTGGAGATTGGACCACGGAGCCAGAAAGAGCCAGTGGGCTGGTGATTCTTGTCCTCCTGGTCTGGGGCCCAGCAGAAGCTGAGGCAGATGTTCCAGGCTGGAAAGCCTAGGGCAAGGCGGGACTCAACGGCTGAGTCAGCCCCAAGGAAGCTCGTGTGGTAGAGGAGCCATGAATGTGGCTGCAAACGTGGCCACCTGCCCTGACGGAGGGATGAGCCCATGAGGAAGGAAGTGGCGAGTGGCCAGGATTTGGAAGAGGAACCACAGCGTGGAACAGAAGCAGCAGCTTGGGTTGGGGGGGGAGGGGGGATCCTTGTGTTCAGATAATGGCGTGGGGGTCTGCGTGGCTGCTCCAGAGCGTGGGAGTCAGCCACAGTGCGTAGCGACTCTGTGCTGGGTACGCTGCCTGTCCTGGTGCTTGTTCCCACTGCCACCTGCTCTTTCAGGCTTTTATCCCCAGTCTGATTTGAAAATCAGGATCCTGCGACTCAGAGAAGTGAAGGCAGTCAGTTGTCAGGGGGACACACAGGAAATAAGCAGCAGAGCTGGGAACTGAACACACATCTGCCGGTCTCTGGAGACTCATGCTTCCCACCGCTTTCTAGTGCCTTTCACTCTCTCCCACTGCAGGAGTGTCCCCGTGAAGAAACACCCACAGTGAACCACACACTCCGGTTCCCACGTTGGACACACGGCCACACAGGCACACACCCCTGTCCCTTGAGGGCCTGGTTCCGGCTGCAAAGAAACATTTTCAGATTCATGTGAATTTTGGATGCTGTTGTCATTATTTAGCGATTTTTAAAAAGTAAGAAGAAAGCATGACCTTTATCTCTGAGTTTTCCAGTGAAATGGGCTCTAGAGAAGGCATGCGTTTAAGGGGCCGGTGGTGACACCTGCCTGGTCCCTAGCACAGGAGGAAGTCCTGGGACTCTGGCCATGCTGCAGGCTGTCAAGGGAGAGCCAGAAACCCAGAGAATACCATGGGGGAACGGCGGGTGTTCCCACTGCTTGTCAAATGAAAAGCCACAGAAAGGCAGAGATACCAGTGGCCCAAGGACGAGAAGCAGTAAGGCAGTTACATGATCCCAGCCATCTGGTTAACCCAACATATTTAAATCTAGACTAAATATAGCCCCTTTCCCAAAAAACACTCAGCATATTTAAGCATGTAGACAAGATGGAGATTTGCATGTGGTGTCTGAGGATATGGAGATCCAGATCCTGGCTTAGAATTTCTGGTGAAGATGCCAGGCATTTCCTCCCCATGGCATCAGTTAGCTTGTGCTTGCTATCAAGATCCCAAAACTCATTGGCTTAAAACCGCAACCATTATACTCGCTCCCAGTCCTGTGCATGGGCCAAGCAGCTCTTTTAGTCGGGGCGGACTCTGCTGATAGGATCTCTTGGTGGCCTGGCTGGAGGCGGGTGGTCTAGGATAGCCTCATGTGTGTGGCGATTGGCAGGCTGGTTGTTTGAAGAGAGTCTCAGCAGGGACTGCTTGCCTTGGCTCCACCTGGTCTCTCCTCCTCCAGCAGACTAGCCTGGGGTCTTCACGTGGTGGTCTCAGTGTTGCAAAAGTAGCAGAGGAGGACAAAGCCCACTGCATCAGTACTTTTCCAACCTCTGGCTGCAACCCATCTGCTATTATCTCATTGGCCAGAACAAATCCTTGGCCTAGCTGAGAGTCATTGTGGGAAGAGACTACATAAGGCCATGAATATGGAAAGGCATGAACAAACTGGGGGCCCTAACTGCAACAAGTCTACCCTGCTGTAAGCTGGAGGTGTAACTTAGCAAGCAGCGATTGTTTCTACCAAATGCCCACCTGAAGTCAACTCTGAACCATACTGTGGTTAATCCCCATATGAAAAGGCAGTGTCAGGTAAAACCATAGGAGACATACTTAGTTGTTCTAGTGGCCTGTCCTGCCAGTCTGGGAGGTGGGAAGTCCCCAGGAGGTTGGAAGCAGGGAGTAGTTGAAGGGCCAGACCTAGGCCAGCAGTGGTAGAAAGACCTGGCCTCTTACATGCAAATGCAGAGCAACCAACAGGCTACTCTGGCCTCCAAGGAAGCAAGAGACACCACATGGCCTCAGAAGTCAGGGGTGGATGATTCCTGGGGATGGTGTGGTAGCTTCCCAGGCCCAGAGTGAGGCCTGAAGGCAAGGTTGTGAGCCAGAGCTGCAGAGGGAGGGATGTGAACAAGAACACGTCATTGTGCAGTACTCAGCTTGGGGTACTGGGCCCCACCCTTGGTTAGGGTTGGACAGAAGCACTTTACATTGGGAGGTGTAAAATTGGGGTCTGTTTGTTAACACAGATACCAGTTGCTGGACATACAAGTTCAATTGTGAGATGCAAGTAGATTTTTGTCAATCTTTTAGTAAATGTTCTTTTTTTGGTAGAACATCTGACAGGTCCCTTAAAGGAGTGGTTTTCAAAATCCCCGGCAGGGCCCTTGGGGAGGGGGTGGGAAGGAAGGGGCTCCAGGGCTCTGGCCCCTGCTTCATTCCTAGCATATCTGCTTTTTTAAAAAATAGGCTTTTCAGATATAATTCACATGCTATATATTCTACCAAGTGTGCAACTTAATGGCTTTTATATACTGATGCAACCTTCACCACATTAGCAGATGAGCTTTTATCTGATTTTGGCTATCAGATCTCTGAAGGAGATTCTATTTGAAGGGGGAAAAGTTCAGGTTTGAAATTACTGTTACAGTCTTACTGTAGGTTTAGAACCTTTTCTAGAGAGACTGTGTTTTTAAATTCTTTTTAAAATCCCAGTGAGAACCAGGAAATAAACTTGATTTCTAAAACTGATAATGTAACATCAATAGTAGCCATTCACTTTTTTCACAGAAGGGACATTTGGGGCCTCATTCAGCTTTTTTTTTTTTTTTCTTTTTTTAAGTCCTTTTGCACAGTTCTACTGTGGCTAGAGGAATTTCAAATGAGTGGAGTGGGGCTTCAGGAGGACCCCCGGGTGCCCCTGAACTAGGCACACCCAGTGGTCCAGGATGGAGGGAGGTCTGTAATTAGCGGAGGGGCTGGTTAGTAGGAACAGATCCTGCTGCACACCCAAGACGTCCCTAAAAGCATCACTGTGGGACACGTTGCAATGACTGATGTTCAGATTAGCAATTACAATTAAAGAAGACCAAGGCCATCTTAGCAGAATGTTCATCAAAAAAGTTATAGATTTAAAGGCTGGAGGTCATACCGTGGCAAGCTGCTCTGCGTGACGACTTCCTTCATTGTGCGGCGCGTCGTAAATGCTCAATAAACACCCTTTACATTTTTCTTTGGAAAGGTCATGTCTGTGAAATATCTCACTCGCGGTTAATGTCAGATAAGCGAGGCATTCATGAACTGGTTTCCTCTCGTTCACTCGAAGGGAGCGTTCTCATTCTCACTCTCACTCAGGCTCCTTTGGGGACAAAGGCTAATCATAGAGCGCGCTATTGTTCTCCAGCTCGAGATTCATGTCTCCCTGCCAGGGGACTGGGCTAATCGGATTATTTTCAGTTGACCAACTTGGTTCTCCACCTCTGAACACTTTGTTTATTGCCTCTGCTTCATTCACAGGACGTGTTCCCGATTTGAGGTGAAACCATGAAGAGAAAGTAGAACCATAATAATGCTTTTCCGCAACCGCTTCTTGCTGCTGCTGGCCCTGGCTGCGCTGCTGGCCTTCCTGAGCCTCAGCTTGCAGTTCTGTGAGTAGAGCGGGTGTCACCAGGGCGTGGGCGGTTAGCTGGTTTCCTTCTGAAACAGAGGGCCTGGGTTTGTGGGAAACAAGGAGGCCCCAAAGCCTTGATTTTTAAATGAACAAATAGGTTGAAAACAACTGAGTCTTTCTGTCATTGGCGATCACGGTGTGTAGTTGCAAGCAGGGGCCCTAAACCACCGAGCAGCGTTCAGGGTGTGCTCTTTTGACCTGTGCGTGGATCCGAAAATGCCTGGTTACTCGCAGATTTCCCAGGTGAAGACGCCAAGTGGCCCAGCTTGACTTTTGCGCTGAGCCACACCAAGCAGTGGCGTTTGTCCGGCTGGTGGGGTCATTGAGGGTTGGGTGTCCATTTTATGTCCAGTCAGCTGTGGGGCTGCAGTTGTTTGGGGCAGGGTGTGGGGATCAGGTACCTATTATCAAGCTTGCTTCCTGGGCTGCAGGGGCTTCGCCTTGGAAATCCCTGTGGGAAGGCAAGAGTGCCCGGATGAAGCTGGTCTGCTGACCTTGCCTTCCAGCATCCCACACTGGGATCCTGGTGCTCAGGCGGTGCCCCAAATCTGTGCATACCACAGGTCCCCCGAGAGGGGCTGTCCTCAAACACAGATCCGGCCCTGGGACCTTGTTGGTTGCAACCTCTCAGTGGCGACCCAGGTCTTCTGGGAGGCCCCTTGCCCTCCTGTGTGGCCCCTCTCTGCTTGGTGTGCTCTACGAGTGCCAGCCTGTTCTCTGTGCTGCCATCCTGGTGTCCTCTGCCCTCCTCCTCCCCTTTCCCCCCTTTCCCTTTCAGCCCTGCTCTTCTCCCCAGAACCTTCCAGGAGCCCCTGAGGGCTTGGTGGTTCTTTGATGTATATCAGAATGCCCCGAACCTGTTCCCCTCCTGTCACTAACCATGCAGTATTGTATTTTTCCGTTCTTATGTCTTTTCCTTCTACGAGATTGTCTGCTCTTTGAGAGCAGGGACCGTGTCCTGTTTCCCTCTATGTCCCAGGAACCAGCACAGCCCAGCACATAGTCGCATTCATAAATGTTTGTTGAGTGCGTGCATCTATGCCTGCTCTGGAAAGCAAATAGACCCGAATTCCCTTTCCTTCTGTCACTGTGTTCTTGAAGCTGAGAAAACGTCTGTATGATGCTGGGAATTGTGTTTCTGCTGCCACCTGCCTCGCCCTAACGGGTGGGAGACAAGCAGGTGGTACCCATCAGCGCCCAGGGCACCTCTGTGAGGAGGTGGTGTTTCTGTCACAGTGTGAGTGATGGAAAGAAGGGCAGGTGGCTCAGTGAGTGGGATGTTGTGAGTGTACAGAGGAACATGGGAAAGACTTGGTGTTGGGAATAGGTGCTTTGAAGAAAGGAGGCTTTGGGCAAGTTTCCCTGATTCACCTCCAGTTGCGACATATTTATGCACACATCTGGTGCATATGACAGGTTATTTCTAATTGTACAAAGAATTAAAAATACTCATTTTGTCCTTCCAGAATTGGAAAAGAGGTCAGGAGAAGGTGGGCATCAGAAGTTTAAAAATATTCCAGATGCCTAATGAACTGTAAAATAGGAATCCTTTCCAAAAAGTGTGGTAGGACTTTCAGTAGTTTAATTGTCTGTAACTTTTCATTAGAAATTTTCCACCCTTTGGTTGGAGAGGTAGGATGTTACATTCAACCCCGAATTTTATTCTGAGAAGCTGACAGGTTCTGAGACATGAATGTGGGTTATTTGTGTTTGCGGCGTTTCTCTTGCATGAGCTGGTTTCCACGTCACTGAATTGGCCTGTGTGTTTTGCTTATATAACTCTTCTGAAAGTACCTTCTGTTTTAGGAGAGCCAATTTGCAGCCATACTTTTTTAAGGAAAATTTTGCAGAGTAAATTAGCCTGGCTGGGTCTGAGCTCTTTATTCTTGGATACACTGGAGTCCGGAAAGATATTAAGATATGGACGTTCTTACTGCTCTTCTACTTATAGGTAAACTGGAACTTTAGGATTTCTACAGAAATGGGGTTTAATTGCTTCATTTATTTAATTGCTTTATTGGTTGCTTATGATTATGGTGTAAGAAACTGTGCTAATTCGTAACGCAAAGGTTTATGCTTAAGTAGCAGTTATGTTGTCATTCTTACCCTAAAATATATGGACTTTTTCTTTGCCATTTCTTTTGACTAATTTTGGAATGCCAAATTAGCACATAAACTAATTTTAAGTAATATATTTGAGGCAACCAAATATAAGTTGGTTTTCTCACACTTTCAGTAACCAGTATAGTTTTGTTTGCTGAAATGATTGTAGATTTTGTCTTTTTAGTAGTTTTCTTCTTCTGATGTTTTGAATATGAAAAAGATAATACCCAGCTTATTATTCAAAAATCAGATTTTTTAAATAAGCATTTCTTCCTCTGGGTACAGAAAGTACGTAACAAACCCACATATATTTTTTAAGTGCTTATGTGTGTTTGACATTTTTCTGCACTGTTTGGGTGGAGGTATTTAGAGAAGGAATACAGAAAAGATTAAGATACTGGCTGGTCCGAATGCAGTGGTGTGTACAGCTAATTGATCACAACCAGTTACGGATTCCTTTGTTCCTTCTCCACTCCCACTGCTTCACTTGACTAGCCCAAAGATACGACCCATAGTTTCTCAAAATGTGTTCATCTTAAATAGTACTAATGACTTGCTATATGCTAATAGTCCTTAGTAAAAATCATTCATTGTGTGTTTTCAAGTCCTTGATGTTTTGAGTTTGGACGTGGGAACATTCTGAAATTCCTGTTATTTGAATTGTAGGAGGTAACAAGTAAGACATGTTTTTTAGGTGCTATAGTTAAAATACACACAAGTGGAAAAATAACTTTTCAAATTGAAGGATTCCTTTAGCACAAGGAAAGACCGTCAGGATGCGAAGGCTTATGAATCATGAGTTATGCTTCTACTTTTTCTGCTCATTTGTAATCATCCCCTCCCCTGCTTTAACCCAGCATTGCCTTGGTGCTCATTTTGTGCTCATTTCTCCACGTTCCAACCGTCATTCCCAAGATGGCGGCGTGACGGGAGCAGGCAGGCTCTGGAACCATCATAGCTTTGGGTTGGAATGTCAGCTTCCCCGCCCAGCAGCCATGTGCCCTGCATCCTCTTCTGTAAAATAGAGTTAATTTTTGCTGCTTTGCAAGGTTGGTGTGAGAACAGAACTTTATGGGAAAACACTTGGCTTGGGGAAGCAAAGCCAACACAAATCTTTTAAGCAAACCAGTACAGAGCTCCAAATAATGCACCGTCATCAGAAACCAGGGCTTAACCAAAAGGTTGCCAGAGCGGATGTTCCTTCAGCTATTTGGCAGAGGGAAGCTTTTGAAATAGATCATGCATCTATTTGTTTTTAATCAGAGAACACTGGCCATGATGAGGGTTAACTTATACTGAGCACATGGTGCCCATATCTGGGCCGCCCTCCTGGGCAGGACTCTGACCACAGTGGGCTCAGTGGGACATGTTGACGGTGAGCTGGAGACTCAGATTCCCGTTTGCAAGAGAGGAGGGTTCACCTACAGAAGTGAAAGCTGGGGTTGTCTTCAGTGTCTCAAAGAGCCTTCTCTGCAAGAGGAGCGGGACCTCGCCTGCATGGCCTGGGTGACCATGGTGACGCATTTCAGTTAAGGGCAGGGTGGAACTTCCTAGCAGTGTCACGCAGGGTTGGAATGGGTGGCTTGTTTTCCGTCACGGGAGTCTGCAGGCTCTGGAGGGTCACTCTCTGAAGAATAGAGTTATTGGACAGGTCATTGGGCCTGATCCCATTTAAAGTCTCTTTAAATTCTGAGGGTTTGTGAATTTTATCTTTCCTTGTCAATCTAGTGCCATGAGTATGTGCAACTTTGTTTTTGAGCGAAGGTTCCTTGCATTTCCACCATGGGTCAGAGCCTGGGCTGGGAGTTTAGTCCCTCGAGGGCCGCAGGGAGCCTTCCGTCCTCGGAGGAGAATCACGGGCAGCCACTGGGAACGCTGTGGTGGTGCGCTTGGGCAGGTAAGAGGCGGCAGTGCCACAGGGTGGGAAAGAACGTGGAGTCTGGAGCCAGGCTGCCAGAGTCGAGTCCCTGGCCTGCCATTTACCAGCTGTGTGACCTCAGGCAAGGTATTTATCTTCTCTGTGCCTCAGTTTTCTCATCTGCAAGATGAAGGCAATGATGCTTCCTATTTCATAGGGTTAGTACAGGATGCAGTGCACCTGGAACAGGGCCTGGAACATAGTAATCACTGCATGTGTGTTTGTGAAATCAAATGAATGAGAGATCACTTATGGCAGGATAGAGGACAAGAATCCAGTCCAGGCTGGGAGTCAGGGAAAACTCCCCGGAGGAGGTGACATCTGTGTTCATCTCTGATGAAGAGTAGGATTAGATCCAGGAGGAAGTTGGGAAGGGCATTCCTGGCAGGTGGAGGTGGGTATGCCAAGGCAGAGGGAGTGAGAACACGGCCCAAATTGGCCACCTGTATGTAGTGTGAAGATGGACCAATGGCCAGGGGCCACTTCCCATCACCACGTTACATCCTGAAGGCTTTGGGTAGCCATTGAAGGAGGGAAGGTGCCATCAGACTTGTGTCTTGGAAAAGCTACAGTCCATTACACTGGTTTCCTGGGCACCTTGATCACAATCACCTGGCCAGCTTGTTAAACATGCATGTGCCAAAAACAAATAAAGAGCAGATTTTGTGCCCCTCCATACAGAATCAGAATCTCAGTAGGAGCGGAACCCTTAGCAAGCTCCCTGGATGTGTTTAATGTACACAAGATCTGAGAACTGCCGGTCCCAAGGCTGGTGAAAGGATGAGGCTGAGAGGCGACTCAGAGGCCTTTTTGCTCATCCAGTTAAAAGCTGAGGGTGGCCCAGGTGAAGGAATTGGCCCTGAAAGGAAGAAGCAAAGCCAAGAGATGTCATGGGGATGCTGTGGGACTTTATAGCTGGTTGGTGTTGTGGGGCCAGGATGATGGGGGGACTCTTC